GGGGAATTGTCCCCCGTGTGGTGCTTCGGGGCATCCATGGTAGTTGCGTGTTTGGAGCAGATGTAGATCCTTCCCTCTTCGGGTTTCTGACTCATCAAATCTGTTTCTGCCTCCATGTGTTTTGTCTGGGAGCAGCAGTGGCCCCTGTGGTGGGTGCTGGAGAACTTGGGCAGCATCTTCTCCCTCCTTGTGTTCTGCCCCCAGCACCTCCTTGGAACCACCTTGACCTCTTGCTGCTGTGAGGCTGCACATGTCATCTCGTAACTATGTGGCAGGCAGGGAAATGCCTGAATAACAGTTGTTTTGGTTTCTCTTGGTTCTTCTTACTTCCAGTGTTGCTGTTAAGTATTTGCAGGGCAGTCAGGGAAATGCCCCCTGTAGAATGTTCTGCTGTACGTTGGCTGCTTGTTGCAGAATCAGTGCTGTCCTGTTGGTGCTTTCCCGTGTGTACAAAGGTCTTGTTTTGTTCATTGTGTTTTAATTTAGTAATCAGTTCAGCTTTAAGGCAACATAATTTGGGGCAGAAAACCCATGTGGCAAGAGACATACAATTATTTTTTTTAAGAGACAAAAGGAAAAATGTGACCAGTTCTTGACCCATCTCCAGCTGTTTGCTGTCAGGATAGGCCTGGTGGACCTTCACAGGAAGGTACCAGTGTTGGTTTGGCTGTTGGGAGCTGATTGCTTTGAGATTTTTCTGGTTGCTTTGAGTTTCTTGTCTCCAGGGAGACTTTAGAGCACCTTCCAGTGCCTGAAGGGGCTCCAGGAAAGCTGGGGTGGGACTTTGGAGAAAGGCAGGGAGGGATGGGACAAGGCTTAAAGCTGGAAGAGGGAGATTTAGGTGAGACATGAGGAGGAAATGCTTGAGTGTGAGGGTGGTGAGAGCCTGGCCCAGGTTGCCCAGGGAAGCTGTGGCTGCCCCATCCCTGGCAGTGTTGAAGGGCAGGTTGGATGGGGCTTGGAGCAACCTGGGCTGGTGGGAGGTGTCCCTGCCCATGCAGGGAGGTTGGAACCAGATGATCTTTAAGGTGCCTTCCAACCCAAACCATTCCATGAAATGTCTCCCAAGCTGGTATTTACCATGTCCTTTGGGATCTGAGGCCTCATAGTGTGAGGAAGGAGGGGATTGATCTGGGGCCACTAGTCTCTGAGACAGCACAGACACAGGATAGAAATTTGCTGGGCTAAGAGCTCTGATTCATGTCAATGTTTGATATCAAATGTAGTTCCAGCCGGATGCAGACAAAGCTTGAAAATCAGCCAAAGGGTGCCCTGTTCTGCCAGGAGGCTGAGAGGTTTTTAATCACTCTGGAGATTTTTGGCTTGGGAAAATACCGAGTTCCAGGGAAACGTGTGTTCTGCCTTGGTAAAATTGTTCTTTACCAGCTGCAAATCGTGCTCAATCTTTAAAGCTCAGTCCCAGGGCTGTGCAGCTTCATCCCCCTGCAGCCGGCGCTTCCCTCGAGGCGCAGGGGAAGCTTTTCCCTCAAGAAGCTGGAATTGTCATGACTGGGGGAGAGAAGCTTGGGTGAGGCTTCAGCTGACAGCAAGAGGTTTGTGTTTGTGAGGAATCTCATGGGTATCTGCAGTGGTGGGGCAGGGGCTGGGAAGGACAAAGGGGTGTCCTGGGAGAGCACTGTGTGTGCCGGGGGCTCTCAGGAGATGTTGGTGCTCACGGGGTGCAGTTCATTTGTGTGTGGCCTCTGGGTTATTCAGTCCAACTTTTTTTTTTATCCTGGGGTTTAGAACAAAAGGGGTGGAAGGTTTTCACTTACAAACTGAAGTTAAGAACCAGTTGCTGCAACTGGAGTGGTGGAGTTGCCAGGTTTTCCTTCAGAAATTGTACAGGCTTCAACTTGCTCCTAAAAAGGGAGTTAAATTCTCCCACACCAAGGGCAGTTGTTTAGTTCAACAAAGTCTGCTCTGGGTATTTGTCAGGAGGAAGCAAGGAGCAGCTTTCCCATATCCCTGCTTCTGTCTGATGCCACATCTGCTGTTTGAGAAGAAAAGCTGAAGCTTGGCTTAATTTTGGAATTTCTATTAAATATAGAGAAGATAAATAGGCAAAGCTTCTGTTCTTGCAGAGTAGGTGATGACTATAAAAGTTATATGAGGATATTTATGGGGCAAAATGTCAAGGGGGTGCATGGCTTGCTTAAACAAAAGGTTCTTTACTTCCTGGGTCCTGAATATTCATGGCATGAGTGTCAGCACAGTGGGGAGAGAACTGAGAGTATAAACTCACCATCTGCACACCCACCCCTCTTTGGTTGTCAATAGAGTAGTAATTAAAATATCATCTTCATCTTTCGGTCAACTGTTAACTAATAGGGCTGTAGATGTAGAGGTTTGATTTTGGGGAGGAATTAGAACTTTTAGATACTTTTTCTTCTGGCCTTCATGGAGCCCCCAGCTGTGGAAGGATTCCTGGTAGGAGTGGAAGTTCAATGTGAAGGGAAGGTAGGATTTTAATTTAAATCCAGCTGCTTTGGGCAGCTTCTCTCACAGACTGGCAGCTACAAACAACTTGATGGTGTTCTCTGAGCTTGGGGAAAAATGGCAGATTTATGCATTTTCAGAGACAGTATAATATACTGCTCTTTACAGGCTAAACTTTTTTCTATTCAAGTAATTTGTGGATTATTTCACTGATATATGCAATCTTATCTGCAGCTACAGTGTTGGTGGCACAGGAACTCTGGAAAAGTTGTCCCTGCGACATAAAAGTTCTATTTATTGTGTTTTTCTCTAGGTAAAGTGGAAAACTGAAGTTGGCTTTAAGTGTTTGCAATCAGAAATGATGTGAAAAAGCAGCTCAACTAAATGTACATTCTTTTCAATCTTTACTTTTTTGTGTGAAGGCTTTTGTCTTTGTATCTTTGCATTATTTGTAAATGAAATGTAATAAAAGTTCAAATGTTTTTGTCTCTGGCTGCTTAGCTTTTCCTTAGCTTGGTTTGTCTTTTGTTTGTTTTTTGACTGAGGGTTTTCAGTGTTGGAACTATGGATGTTTTCAGAGCTCATGTTTGTAAAGAAACAGCAAAATCAAATTATTTTGCTTAGCTGGCTTCTTGCAGCTGTGAAAGGGGAACTCTGCTCTTCAGGAGGGAACTGCTGATGTATCTAAAAGATGCAAAGTGTTGTGATAAGCCTTGACATTTCAGCTGTCTCCAGAAAAGCAGTCCCTGAGCCCCTTGGTGATGGTGGGATGACTTGTCATGGCTTTTCTCAAGCCTCAGTCACGTTTCTGGGCTGCCTCATCGTGCTGGAGCTCCCTGGGGTCCAGAGGGTCTGGCTGTGTTAGAGTTGTTGGAGTTTTGAGAGAAAATTAAGAGTGTAAATGTTCAGACTTGCCTGATTAGGTTGTCATAGGTGGATAATCGTGTGGTAGGTTGGTCATGGAGGGAAGAGGAGCCAAGGGTGAAAAAAGGTTTATGCTACCAAGGCAGCTGGGGCTGAGGGATCGACTCCTTCAGCTTGGGTTGTTCTTCCGTAGCTCTTTTGAGTGGAGTTCACCTTTTTCTCATACTATTTTGTCTGTGGGGAAGGGTCCTCAGCAGTTGGTGTTTGGACCTGAGGGATGGGAGTGCTGGGAGGAAGTGTCCTGGTTGGATCTTTTGTGTGAGGTGAACTGAGCAGGTCTGCAGTGAGGCCAAGTTGGGTCATTCGTTGGTAGAGTTGGGTTTTGGTTGGATTTGATGACTATAAAGGTCTTTTCCAACCAGGATGATTCTGTGGATGCACCCAACTGTCCAGCACAAGTCAGAGGGAGCTCATCCCTGCTTGCCCCAGGCCACCAGCCACTTCTGGCCATGTCCACTTGGGAATCACTTTCTTAGAAGCTATGCAAGGTCCTCTCAGTACTGCAGGCCACTTTGTGTAGGGGATGTTGTGCTCTGGACTGTCTCATCTACATTGTTGCCTGTTGGGAAAGAAAATGTAGTGGCTGTTTTCATGACAGTCTCATGATGGCGAAGGGAGATGTTCAGGTGCTGTGATCAGCACGTGAGCTGTCTCTGAACAAACCATGTGGTTGGTTGTCCTGCAGCAGAGTTCTAGAGAGGAACTTTGCACCAGCTTGTGAAGCTGCACTGCTCAGTGCAGCACATGGGCAGGAGCTCATGAAACCATCAGCAGGTGTCAGGATAATGACCATGAACTGCTTCCCTGCAGCATCTTGCAGAGTTGGGCTTTTACTGGAGTAACCCTGGAATGCTGCAGGGTTATTCTTCAGCTGGAAGAGGCTAGGAGTTCCAGCAGGGCAGGGCTGGGATTTCCCAGGCTGACCACAGCCTGACTGGAGTGGGGTCTGGGCTGGAGGAGCAGCCCCTGCCTTTGTGCTGCACACTCTGGGGTTCAGCTGAGTGCTCTGCTGGGCTTGCAGCTCGTGAGGGTTTCTCTGTTGTACATCTGGATTAAACACGTTTCACAAGAGGAAAAAGCAACATGCACGTGACCAAGGAGAAGTCTTTTATTTATTACCCAACATTCCAAGTATTTATTATCCAACCTTCCAGAACAAAGACACTCTCCTTAAAGTGCTTTTTTGGGTTGATTTTTTTCTTTTTATGTTTTGTGATCAGCTTGTACATAGGCTGCCCTCCATGTCCTTTCCAGACTAGTGCTGGGTTTGCTTTGCAGTAGGTCTTGAAAAGGAGAACAACATCCACACTCAAGAGCCTTGGAGTAGGGAGAAGATTCCTGGGAATCATCCATGCTAAACTTAGAACAATTCCAGCTACTACAGGTAGCTCCTCAGCACATCTTTCTCCATGGAGTGTAGAGAACCAGTGTTTGCAGCAGCACAGGCTCCTGCTCACACTTGCTGTCTACACCCTCTGCCCTTCCAACTGGGTTTTGTAGCTTCTAGAGGAAGTTGCTGTGGTGGGAAAGATGCCAGAGAAGTCCCTGGGGCGGCACAGGAGAGCAGAGCCAGCAAGGGGCAGCTGAGCACGGGGGTGTCAAAGCTAGTTTGGCTGGAGAGGTGTTTACATGGGAGGTTAGTCCTTCTGAATTCTGAATGTTTCGTAGTATTCTGGAATGGTGTCTGAGGAGGATGAGAAAGATTAGAAGTAGAGCCAGAAATAAAAACAAGAGTAAGCTGCTGTGTGGGTTTTGCCCGTGTTCTACAACTCCCTGAGAGGGAGTTGTGGGAAGGTGGGGATGGGTCTCTTCTCCCAAGGAACAAGTGATAGAACAAGAGGAAGTGGCCTCAAGTTGCCCAGGGGAGTTTTAGATTGGATACTGGGAACAATTTCTTCTCCCCAAAGGGTTGTCAGGCCCTGGCCCAGGCTGCCCAGGGCAGAGGTGGAGTTCCCATCCCCGGAGGGATTTCAAAGCCCTGTAGATGTGGTGCTGAGGGACATGGTTAGTGGTGGCCTTGGCAGGGCTGGGTTAAGGGTTGGACTGGATGATCTTCAAGGTCTTTTCCAACCAAACTGATTCTGTAGCGTCTTGTTGCAGTTGTCTGTGGGCTGGCCAAGAACAGAGGCACATCTTGGCAGCCAAGTGGCTTGTCCCCCTTTCCCAGCTAACTCACCGTTGCAGCGGTAACGCAGGTTGGACCAGATGATGTTCTCCTGGGAGAAGCAGAAGACTCCCAGGCGTCCTCCTCGCATGGTTGTGTCAAGGACAACTCCAGTGTCTGCTACGACTTCAGGGCCTTCATAGAAGCGAGCTCTAGAGATGGAAATTGCTCCTGTCAGACATCATTCCTCCTCTTTACCCCAGGACTGTGCTACAGGTGTCTGTGTTCTGTGTCCAGCCTCCACTCAGCCTGCAGAGGAACCTGGGAGCCCCTCACCTGATGTATCCCACCTGAGGCCGGTGCTGCAGGAACCAGCGGTAGGACGTCTTGTCCTTCCAGCCGGAATTCCGAGGGTCTTTCCACAGCAGCTTCACCTGGTCTGTGGTGTCTCCCGTGTGCCAGAGGGAATTCCGGAGATACTCCCCAGGGCCTGTTTTCGACTTCACTGCCTGACACGAGGAAGAGGCTGGTAAAAGGTGTGGCTGAAGGGTTGTCTGGGCCAAGCTGCCTGCCCCCCTGCCCGTGTCCAAGCAGCATAGCAAGGACCAAGGCAGAACCCCAGGACTGAACTCATTTTCCATGGTGGCTTTACCTTCAGCTGAATTCCAGGCTCTGCCACTGCTCGGAAGGGGTTTGCCTGCCAATATGTCTGTTCCATCTGCTTCCACATGACCACATAAAAGCTGGAGCTGTCCTGGTAGCCAAAGATGAAGCCAGCATAGTCATCATCTGTGGCAGTGTTGACGTGGAATGTGCCCTCAAAGTCCACTCCATTGAATGCTGTGTAGCCTGTGATGGGCAGGACAACAAATGCTCTCTAAGGGTACTTCAAAATACTCTAAAATACTTTCCAAAACAAAATGAAAATCCCTTGATTTCCAGACTCAGATGGGGGAGGTGGATTTTGTGAAGCCAAATCTGGAGACTCCACCTACTACAGAAAGTGTTTTCCCTGGAGGTGGATGAAACCATTAAGCAGTGTCTGAAATACCTGAGGAAGCTGCACTGGGGAGTACACAGTTAATGAGGGATCATTTTCCCGTGGGATAAAGAGATGTGCCTCACCTACAGCCAGGCCAGGATCACTGTTCATGGTCTGGACGATTTCCATGCCCTGAGGAAGAAGAATGTTGGCTCATTAGAACAGCTCCAAACCTGCCCACATCACTCTGAGGTGATCAAGGGGGAGGGACCCAACGGTGACACTGGAGGACTAGGACACTAGTTCATCCTGCAGAGCCTTTTAATGAAAACTGCTTCCAGTTTGGTTCAGCCTTGTTCCCACCTGGCTCCTGAGCCCCTCCTGGAGCAGTCTCCTACCTGGTTGAGGACAATCCAGTTGGGGTCAATCTGTGCATCACCCTCTGGGTCCAACACAACAGTCTGGAAAGCCCTGAAGTCTGTTAGTGTCACCTCTGCATTCTCAGGGCACACATCGATCCTGTCGATCACCATGTCTCTGTCAAAGTCATCTTCACAGAGGTTCCCCACACCATCACCTGAGAGCACGACAGCAGAAAGGAGGAACAAGCCTTCATTAATTCCTCCTACCCCTTGCACCTGGCTTTTTGCTAGCACAATTTAAGGTGGCCATGTCTACAGAAGGTTAAGAGGTGTGTAGAGCACTGGTAGCTCTTCCTTGAAGTCAGTTTCAGAGAAAACCCTGCAAAGAAGTCTCTTGCCTGCAGCCAAGAGAAGAAACTACTCAAAGTGTAGACCCTTCTGGAAGAGAAGTTTGTCCCAAATATGATCCTGATATCACCAGTTACTTGAGACCTGAAAATGATGTAGTAGTCTCTCAAGTCAGCACTGAGGAGATCTCAGTTCCTGTCTATCTCTAGAGATGAAACTGATACCCACAGGAGAACCCCCATCACTTTCCCTTACCGTCAGAGTCTTCTTGACCAGGGTTAGGGACAAGGCGACAGTTGTCAGGGCCTGGAGGTTTCTCATCTGGAATCCCATCATCATCATCATCATCATCACACTCATCTCCCAGCCCGTCATTGTCCGTGTCCACCTGGGAGCTGTTGGGCACTGTTGGGCAGTTATCCCGTGAGTCCTGGTGCCCGTCCCCATCACTGGGGGAGGAAATGACAGGTAAAGATCTGAGAAGCACTGACACGTGCTTGTGACATCAGCACACAGCACCTTTCCAGGAGCTGGGATCCTCCACAAGGACAGCACAAGGTGTTGACTTTGGTCTTAGAGAGTCGTGCGGTGTTAGTGACACAAATAATAGATCAGAAGTGTCTATGAACAGCTCCATGAGTGCTTGCTGTCACCTCCTCACCTCCACCAGCCTTGGGGCAAGTGTTTTTTTGAGGTCTGAAGAAATGTCCACCTCCCTTAACCTCTCTTTTTATGGGAAAAGGCCAAGCCAGGTCATCAGGGAGCTGCCAACACCTGCCCTCTCCCACTCCATCCCCAAGCTTTCATGCAACCTAAGCACAATTTTTGCAGCAAGCTCTCACCTGTCCTGGTTGGTGTCACAAACATCTCCCACTAGGTCGTGATCAGTGTCTTTCTATAAGAATAAAGCAATAATCATTTAAACGTTGCAGCGATCAACAGGAGGATCAGGCAGTAAAGAGGAGAGGGGTTTGTTACACAGGCAACAATGGTGGGAGAGTTCCCTCTTCAAGCAGCTCTATTTCCAGGGAAAGCAAGAAGAGAGGAGTCCAGAGTGCAGCATTCCCACTCTGCCTTACTCCTCTGTGCCCCAGGAAGGGCTGGACTGTCCTACTGCAGGATGGAGCTAAAATTTGTGAGAGGGAATTGTGGAGTGTTCCCAGGTGTGCACAGCACAAGCAGGTGACACCAGCACTGCCCCGAGAGAAATGAACCCCCAAGGCTGCAAAAGGGGAAGTGCTGCCTACCTGGTCTGGGTTGCTGACTGTTGGGCAGCTGTCACAGGCATCTCCCACTCCATCACCATCTGCATCCTTTTGGTCAGGGTTAGGAACTCTCTTGCAGTTGTCCATGGGGTTTTTGATCCCTGTAAAACAGGCAAAGTGGAACCATCGAGGCAACACGGCTGTGCAGGTTTGTGCAGCAAGATCTCTTAATCTCTTATAGGACAGCTGAATTCATGTACTAAAGCAATAATTATGATGTTTATGGACATTTTACATACTTTGGATTTAAGTTCCATCCTAGCAGCTATGGAGGATGGAAGAGATCAGCGGCAACTGATCTTACAGCATAGTCTGGACTGCAGCACAATGGGTGTCTGAGCATGTGAACCTGAGAGGAGAAGTCCTCAGCTGCACTTAGAGACAGGTAAAAAACTGAAGACATATTGACATGTTTAGACAGCACCTTTCCAAGGCCTGAGACAAGACAGGAACAATCTAACTGGTGACCTGTGTGACTTAATTTCCCACTTCTCTGCCTTTACCTACTACACCAGAAATGGTGCCAGCTGGGAGCTGCTTGGCAGGATGTAGCCAGACCCAAACAGCACTAGATGCACTGGAAATACTCTGTAAGTAAATACGTGTCTTACGCCAGCAGAAGTTGTTGTGATTTCTGGCTTTTAAAAGCAAGCTTTGTGCAAATACAGCATCATTAGCACACAGACTGTTTCTAAACCCAGCCAGGGGTTTTTTTCTCCCCCCTAGAAGACAGCCCTGCCACAAGCTGCCTCAAGCCAGGAGCTGCTGACAACCTGGATATTCCCACACTGCTCCCTGACTTTAAATGGCAGCAGCAAAGTGGTGTCCTTGTCTGGACTGAGATCTGTTTGCTTGGTGCATCTTTCTGAAGCCTGACACGGGTTTGATGTGGAGGTGCACAGTAAGAGAGCTGATACAAATTGTCAGCACCATCCTGAAGATGGATCTTTAAACCCTGCAAGAGCTGACCTGTGAAGGATGCTGGCTGGGCTGCTCATCTCGGCAGCTCAAGCCCTGAGCTGGGCTTCATCCCCTCAGAAATCAGCTCCAGTCCTGCAGAGCTCAAGCCCCTGAAAGGCTGGCACCTGCCCCGGGGGGTCTCCAGCTGCTCTCACCATCTCCATCCATGTCGTCGTCGCACTCGTCCCCCCGCCCGTCGCCGTCGATGTCGCGCTGGTCGTTGTTCTTCACCTGCCGGCAGTTGTCACAGGCGTCCCCGAAGTTGTCCCTGTCCGCGTTGCGCTGGTCGGCGTTGCGGGTGTACACGCAGTTGTCCTGCAGGAGGAGGGGCTGGCTGAGGGGACACTCTTGGCACTGAGCTTGTGAGGACCGGATCAAGGTCTCAGCTGCTCAGAGACGCCAGCGGCCTCTGCAGCCTCCCGGTTGAGCCTCATCGCTGCCCAGCCAGGGCATCCCAGTGCCGCTGGGAATATCTCCAGCCTGGCCAAGTGAGAGGGAGACTCCTGGACTCTCAGGGGACCATGACTTGTACACAGAATCGCAGAAGTGTCAGATTTGGAAGGGACCTCTAGAGATCATCGAGTCCAACTCCCCTTGCTAAACCAGGTCCCCTCAGTGCTTGGATTTCTCTCCTTTCTGCTTGTTTTTAGTCTTCAGACCATCCAGTTTAAAAGGAACCACTACCTGCTGGGACCTGCAGGTCCTCGACATTCACATTAAAGGTGCAGGACCTTGGGGTACATTTAGGTGTGGCAGGGCTTGAGTCTTAGAACCAAACCTCAGCATTTAATATCCCATCTCCATCAGCATCATCGTCACAGGCATCTCCAATTCCATCCCTGTCTGCATCCTCCTGGCCAGAGTTGGGGACAGTCAGGCAGTTATCCTGAGAGGAAGAGTAACACAGGGCCTGTCAGCAAGCTGTGTGTGTCATTTAGCCACGTTCTGCAGGTTGGGCAGGATCTCACCAGCACCCAATCCTGCCCTGACAGCAGAATGACCCTCAGATCAACTGTCTCCAGCCACACAGGACACAACCACACCCCACCTTGCGGCACTTCTTGTCCGAGCAGCGCTGCTTCTCATCAGGGACCCCATCGATGTCCGTGTCCTTCCCACAGACGTAGCCATTCCCTGCCCATCCCACGAGGCACTGGAAGACAGCAGATGAACCACATGAGGCTGCTGGTGAGTCCCATGATGGCCATCTGCCTCCAAAATGGAAGGCTTTACGTGAGAACCAGCACAAAACGTTGCAAATCCCAGTAAACAATCCTCTGCGGGAGAAATAATGTCTGGAAGAAACAGTTGTGCTGTAAATGGCGTTGGGAATAGCTCAGATACAAGCTCTCTGCTTGTTCCTGAGGTTAGAGACACACGTAGCAGCAAAACTTCTCAGCCCCAGTAGGGTGCTGCACGGTGCTGCTCCCTGCTCAGCTGCGTGTGATGTTCCGTGACTGACACATTTGTAGAGCTTCAGGCGAAAACAACCCAACCAAACGAGTGGATCTGAGGTGCCAGGAGCAGTCAGTCCACTTCTGAGAGCTCCAAAAATGCTGCCGTGGCTGAGGTGTTAGTGCAGAGCAGGTCTGTGTGGGAAGGCAGGCTCTCCAGGAGAGGGCAGTGGCAGACCCAGGAGAGCAGGAACAGTGCACGGGAGAGCAGAGTGAGCGGATTCCCCCATAGCAGGGAGCAAGCAGATCCCCACCCGAATGAGCAGCCCCCGTGGCAGTGATGAGACCCCCACTGGAGCGAGCAGACCCCCATCAGAATGAGCAGAACCCCCTGGCAGGGAGCAGAGCCTCCATGGTGGGAAGCAGACCCACATTGGAGTGAGCAGACCCCAACAGCAGGGAACAGAGCCCCATGGTGGGGAGCAGAGCCCTGTGGCAGGGAGCAGAGCCCTCTCAGGAGGAGCAGAGCCCCCTCAGGAGGAGCAGAGCCCCCTCAGGAGGAGCAGAGCCCAGGAGGAGCAGCGCTCACCGCGCAGGACAAGGAGCCATCGCGCTCCACGATGCACTGAGCCTTCTCGTGGCAGGGGCTGATCTCTCCGTTGGGGCAGCGTCTCACTGCCTGGTTCCTGCAGCCACTCACTTGGTCACCAACAAAGCCAGGTTTACACGCCCCACACTTGTAGGATCCCTGAAAGGAAAAGCAACAGGGAATTACTTGCAACAGGGATCCCAGAAAACCTTTGCAGGCCCCAAAACCCGGGGAAGAAAGATCCATATGAGGCTTCCCAGTGTATTTACCCGTGTGTTGATGCAGATGGAGTTTGGGACACAATTATTGGCAGCACCTGTCTCACATTCATTGATGTCAGTACAGACCTGCCCAGGAAGAACAAAAGAGCCATTAATTTCACTCCTAAGCAGGTGCCACATGAGCTCACAGAATTAGGGCATCGCCAGGTGCTGAAGCTGAGCCCCTGACAAGCCTTACTGGGGCCTACAGCTCAGTTTTCCTTCAGACAAGCTTGAGCCAGATCCCAGCAACACTCCAGAGCCCAGGGAAGCTGTTCACCCTCTGGAGTCACCAGAGATTTCAGCCTGGCAGAACAGCTTTCCTCTGAGCTGATCTGTCAGAGTATCTGCTTACTGTGAAAGGACAGAGGAGAGTCAATGGAGCAAGAAGGTCAAAGACTGTGTCCTGTGACCTGCTAGCAGCTCTCTAAATAACACAAGGTACATGCCACTCCTGCTTTGGGTGATAGATTCTTATAAACCATAGCAAGATGAGGTGTTTTGGTGGGTGTTTTGAATTTTAATCTGTCTGTAGCTGTCAGGGAAGCAGCAGGGGTGGGGGGGGCAGTAGCTGCATCAACTCTTGTGTGTCCCAGTATGAAGGTTTCCCCAGGCTGGCTTCACAGCCACAAAGGTGTCAGGGCTGTAGCCATTCTGCCCAGCACAAATTCAGCAGGGGTAAGTAAGGTCTTGGAGTGGAGGTTGCTTTGCTGCTGTGCTGGGACATCCTTGGAAGTCCCTCACTGCACCAGCCTTCCCACTGCCACAGGGCAGGCAGCTCCTACTTCCCTCCCCTTTTTCCACGAGGGCTCCAAGTCCTTGGAATTACGATGAAAGAGCAGGGAAGGAGTTAACGGTTTCTGAAGGAGACAGAAAAGTTTCTGGGCCTCACCTGTTTGTTGGCCCTGGCATAAGACAGTCCAACCCCTTCCACCAGCTGCCCAGTGAAGCCAGGCGGGCAGGGGTCGCAGCGGAAGCCGGGGGCGGTGTTGATGCACTGGACCTTCGGGAAGCAGGGGGCTGCGTTGCACTGTGGGCAAGAGAGAGGGTGTGCAGAGCTGAGAGGGGGGCTCGTCCCAGCCCAGCTGGGAAGGCAGCTCCCAAAGCAAGCCTGGCTGGGGGACAGCTGCACTGCAAGGGTAAAAAATGCAGAGAAGTTCCTGGCTTTCCTCGCGACTGGAAAGTGCAGCGTCCCCACCTCGGGTGTTCTCCCAAGTCTCAGTATGTGCAGACAAGTAAAACAAATCAACTTTCAGGACTAATTCTTCTCAGGTCACATCAATTGCCCAGGCAAAGAGCTGGCTTCACTTCACACTTTCCTTCCTGGCAGTCTCTGAATCCAGAGAACTGGATAATTTCTTGCACTGGTTTTGAAAGACAAGAGCAGTTGTTTGTTTACTACTCTGGGAAGGAATTGTCTTTCCAAAGCCATGATTAATGCTTCCTTTATTTTCTCCAACACTTTATTTAATTTTCATTGGATTCTTACCCTCTGTCCTGGCAGATCCATTACATTCATGCTGCAGTTCCCACATTTTGGTGTCTTAACAGAAAATCTCTCATCAACCTTTTTAACTTCAGCAGGTTTTTTAACTAAAAGGCTGTAGAGGTGACATGGCCCTGCAGGACACTTGGTGGACTAACAGGACAAGGGTTTGGGAACCACAGAGCTAAGGAGTGTTCTGGACACACAGAATTAATTACAAAAATGAGTATTTCATACACACAGAGAGTAAACTCAATGGAATGCCATGCTTTCTAAGAAAAAAAAAAAAATTAAATAGTATCTGCCCAGCAAGGTTTGATTTAAGGGCAGAAGTAAAGCAATGTGAGCAGCGTGGTGAGATTTATTGTATAAAGGGCTGTTTGGGAAGCATTTGACTCTGTTCCACTCATAATAAATCTTATCTCTTAACAACTCGCCAGCCATCAGCTCAACAGGGGCTGCTCTGGCCTTCCAGACTGATCCTCCTGTGTGGTACAAACCACAAGAGGTGTTTTCTTTGAGCCTGTGTATCTTTCAGAAGGAGATGCCGTGCTGGGCTGGGTATCAACCCACCATGGAAGGTGCTTTAAGGGAGAGTGGGACCCAGCCCAGTGGAACGATGTTTCTCTTGGAACTTCAGCTCCCAGGGGAATTGTCTTTATAACTCCAAGACAAACCTGCAGCACTCCCAAGACCAGCAAGGCAGTTCTGTGACTTCCAGCCTGTCCTGCTTGGTTTTTACCTCATTGATATCCGTGCAGTGGGTCCCATTGCCCGAGTACCCGGGGGGGCAGGGTCCGCAGCGGAAGCTGGTGCCGGTCTCGGTGCAGGTAACTCCAGGGAAGCAGGGATTTGGGAGGCATCTGTTAAACTGTGTCATGGTGATGGCAGGGCCTGTGACCTCGGTGTGCATGCCTAGGGGAGAGGAGGAACATTCAGAGATGTCACTGCCACAGACTATGATCTGGCCTCTCCGAGGGTGTCTGTGCTCCATGCCTGGGAAGCCTCTGCACAGCCTGAGGGCTGGGCAGCTCTGGCTCTGTTTTGTAAATAGAGGGAGAAAAATGAAGCCAGAAACAGCAGCTTGATGGATTTCTGAGTCACAGCAGACAAAAAAAAATAATTAAAAAAAAGCCCCAGAAGTCTTAGCTCCCAGGACAAAACTCCTGTGCCTCCGTGTTGGTGTGATGCCCTTGCTTTTGGAGTTCCACAGAGATCAGTTCTCTCCCTGGTTCCTCTAGAGCTGGTGGTGTGGGCTCATGCACCCAGCTAGAGCAGACAGACCCATTCAGGCTTAAATCTGGGCAGCCTGGGAGGGGGCTGCCAGCCCAAACCCCTGCTGTAGAAGGCAGCCCTGTCCACAGGTCCTTGTTTGGGGCAGGAATACTCTCCCATCAGGCTCACCCGAGGGTCTCGTGCCGTGACGTTATGTGTGACAGGGCTGGGAATCCTCACTCCATCCTGGCAGAGGAGGAATCAGCCTGTTATTGGGACAGTCATCACTTGGGATGGGATGGAGCAATATGGGCTAGGTGGTCATTAAGTCCTGTGGGTGATGGGTAAGGAATTCTAACCCATCTCCCAGGCTGTTGCTGGCCTGCTTAGCAGCTCTCCAAGCACATCATCCCTGTCCCCACATCACTGCACACCAGCTGCCCTGAAAGTTTCAGGCCAAATGCCAGGATTTTGTCCTTATCCTCTTGACCTGACCCACAGCACAGGAGAATATGCAAAATTCATCAATATGGGACACAGAACTTCTCTGAAGGCCCATTCAAGAGTGAATAATCCTTCCCAGAAACTAGATTTGTCACAAGTCTTCCATACCCACTCCTTTAAGTGGCAAGGACACCTTTTGCTCCTGCTTTTTCCAGCTGAAAAGCCCAACCTAGAAAAAAAAATGTCTAAAACAAAAGACAACTCTCTGCCACCAGCAGCTTCAGTACAAAACAAGGTCTCCTCTTTTCATGCTTCTCTTTCTGAGAAGCCATGAGAGCAGCACGCGACTGCTGTGAGTCACATTGCTCAGGGCTTGACTGAAAGAGGCTTAAATTCTACAGTGAGGAGAAGAGTCTATATAAAGCAGAATAGCAAGTGGGGAAGGCAGAAATCAAGTAACAGAAAGTTCAGACAGTTTTATGAGGAAATTATTAAAACAATTGCTGAGGGTGGATGTATTTCTGTGCTGCAGGTCCCAGAAGCTTTGGCTAATCTCTTTTCCAGCAGCAGTGCAATCTCTCCAAGTACAGGAATGGTTATTGCTCCACCCTTTGAGTGTACTGGCAAATAACAGCACCTCCAAGAACCATGCTTTCTGAAAGCCAGAGATACTGGAAGTAAGTCCCAGTCTACAAAACAAACCAACAAACAACCCCAAACATTTACTGGGGAGCAAAGGGCAAGATTTATATGGGAAAATTTATGACCCCGTTCCCTGAATCCTCTGTAAACAGCCTCTTTGCTTGGATAGTGGCAGCATGAGGATAGAAGGAATAGCAGAGCAATGCCTCTTGGGGGTGATGTTCTCTTCCACTTGCAGCTCAGGAGTAGCCAGCTCGATCCCACAGGATACCCAGTTCCCAGGCAGTTCTAACATTGGCCACGGGCTGGGTTGTTAGGAGACGTGGTTGGGCAGCTGCAGAGCACAGCTACCCCGGGAGGGACAGCCTGGTGTGTCACAACCCCCCCAGAAAGCTTATTTCAGAAGCAATGGAAGTAAAGGAGCTTTTTAAGGCTTCTAAACAGATTTTGAAGGCTACTTCTGCACCCTATGCTCAGGAAAGGGGTTACAGCTGAAGCTGTTGAACCACAAGAACAGCACAGAACACTGGTCCATGTGTGCAGAATGTGGTGGGGACAAAAAAGTGTCACAAACACAGTATATGTTGTGACATTGAACTAGATGCTGTGACACTCGCTAATTCTCAGACAAGCTGTTTCCTTTGGGGTCATGGTCACAGGTGGCATGTTACTACTCGTTTAGACACAGAGGTATGGAGGACTTGGAGGAGGCAGTTGAACATAGAGCTCAGCTCAGGAACTCACCACAGGCATCACACTCCATGACTGTGTTCTTCAGGAATTTTATCTCCTTAATCTGGAAGAAAACAAGAACCACCACTTAGCCAAAGGCTGAGTTTTGCTCCCACACAAACCAACAGCCCCAGTGCCAGCAAACAGGGTCTGGGGCTGCACAGCTCAATTCTTCCCCGTGAGGGTGGTGAGAGCCTGGCCCAGGTTGCCCAGGGAAGCTGTGGCTGCCCCATCCCTGGCAGTGTTGAAGGGCAGGTTGGATGTGGCTTGGAGCAACCTGGGCTGGTGGGAGGTGTCTCTGCCTATGCAGGGGGTGAAACTGGATTATCTTTAATTTTCTTTCCTACCCAAACCAATCTGGGATTCTGGGATTCTGTGACTCTCTGGAAGCTGAGCTGGCTGGGTTCCCTGCTCTCAGTGACTCCCTGCTGTGGGGTTTCTGCAGACTATCTTGATAACTGTCCTGCCACAGACACAGGAAACACTTGACTTGAGTACACAGAAACAAGTGTCAGAGATAAATCTACTTTATTTGGGTCTTGTATTCTAGAGGATGCTGAGCTGGCAGCTCTAGAGAGGTGTGTGTCTGCAGGCCAGGCACTGCCTGACTCAGGAGGAGGTTCCCCCATGAGCATCTTGGGTAGCAATCCCAGCAGGCTTCTTCCCTGCAAGACCCTGACTGTCCAGCTACCTGCCCATGCTCAGGACCACCTTCTTGCACCCTCTGGACTTTATGTCTCCATGATTAAGTAATTTCACTCTGACAAAAGTGTCCACTCATGTCTCCCAGCCAGCTCCCAGGGCTAAAAGTAAGCTTTCACATCCTCTCCTCCCTCCAACACACCCTGGGGTCGTGTATTTTGGGTAATTAAAACAGATAGATCCAACCCAAACCCCCAGAACATCTCCCACTAGAAGTCAGGGACAGAGAGCAGAGCAGCAGGGAGTTTGGAGCAGTGCTGATGAGTATCAGGGCTCCCTTTGTGCCAGGAGTCCCTCAGCCTTTGGCTCAGGAGGCTGAATCTGGCCTTTTAGTGGTTTGCCTTTTGCCATCCTTGTTGCCAACATCCCAAGATGGTGAATCAAGGAGAAGTAAGTTTTAGAAAACCTTTGCACAGATTAAGAAATGATGAAGTGCCACCTTGGCTCTCCAGTCCTACATGCAAATTTGTCTTATGAGGAAGAGTTTTCTTGAAAGTGCTGTTGAGAAAAAGGCCATGGATAAAAAAAAAATAAAATATGAAAAAGGAGGTGGCAAAAGCAAGGGAAGGAACAAATAGAAAACCTGTGTGGAGAAACAGGGCTAAGCTGGAAGGGAACACTGGAAATCATTGCTGGAGGCTGCCAGGAACCATGTCTGACCTGATTCTCAGTAAACACTGGGTATTTATGCAGCAGCCTGAAATGTGAGAGGGGCTGAATGCAGCAGATGTTTTTGCAGATGAGAGGCCGCCCAGTCTGCCCTGGCACGGGGACCTGTCTGCCTGCCCAGCCTGGCAGGGCTGCTGCCCTCAGCTCCCCGGGGGCTGGAGGGAGAATGGGACCTTTTTCTGTACTGAAAAGAGAGTTGACCAGACAAACCAGCATCTCCTCGTTAAAATGGGAAGAGATCTAAGCACCCAAGAAGTTCCAAGTTCCCTAAGAAATTGCCAGAGCCAGAAGGGCTTAGGAGTAGAACAACAAGAGGGAAGAGTGAATGCAGAGCTTGTTTAGACTCCATGTGGCTTCCCTCTCCAGGACCCTCATGGATGGCTGGAAGGTCTCCTCCATCTCCCAAGTTTGGACTCTCTGCTGATTTCATGAGCCCACAAAACCAAGGAAAACATGACTTGTTTTTCCAGTTCAATGTGTCCCCACTGTGTGTGCCTGCCTGTTCTCCTCAGAGCCCCCTCTCCTTGGATAAGGGGGCAGAATTCCAGCCCTGATGTGAGACCACCCCTGGGTTCTGGTTTGCAGCACGATCGTTCTGCTGTTTCACTTCATGCAAGAAGCAGCTCCCCCAAGGCCAGAGCTCAGCATTTAGGCAGAGGGTTCTGAGCTCCCTCCAGTGCAGCACCCAAGGAGCAGGGACCCTCTCTCACCTACCTGGTCTTTCAACAATTCCCGAACTTCCATCAGCACACGGTTGGTTTGTCTCATCTCTTCCAGCATCTCTGGCCCAACTTCAACTCCTAAAAAACCCAAAAAGGTTGGGAAAAACACAGAAGAACCATTAGCTGTGCAAACCAACTGATATTATTCAATATTTCAGCTTCATATTAAAGATACAGGCTCCCCACACACACACCAGTGTCTCGCCAGTTCCTAACTGGGAACTTGCTGGAATCAAGAGGGACTTGCACGCAGGGTAGAGTTTGCTCTGGGCAGGCAGTGAGCATCAGTTACCCCTCAGCAAACAAACTGGCCTGGCAGCTGTGGTGGCTGCTCAGCTGGCAGGGCCTCTGCAGTTCACACACAGGAAGGTTTTGCTGCCAAAAGAAGCAAATTAATAATTCAGAGCTGTGGGAGCTGCTGGGAAGGGCACCACTGAGATGAGGCTGTTTGCTGAGTCTATCCCAGACGTGCTGCCAAGCTCCGAACGTGTGGAACCAGCACACCAGCCACTGCCTCACCTCTCCTCAAGGTACAGACTTTTTTCTTGCTGGAATCTTTTTGGGCAGCAGCAATTTCATGTTCCATGTAGTGGTTTTGAGGCACAAAGGATCCATCTGCTCATCCGTGCAAAATCCACTTTCAGCTTTGCTGAACATGGGATGTACATCATCCTACAAGGTCATCTAAGGCAGATTAACAGGACCTTTCCCTCCCATCTGCTGGATTCTAGACTTGTCTGCTCCTTTGAGACATGTTAAAAATCTAGCCTATACTCTCAGGAAGAATGAATGGAAGTAGCTCATTGTTTTTAGACTTGAGAAGATTTAAGAAAACTTGAACCATTTGAAAGCAATGGGACAGAAATTTCAGCTCTGGTGTCATCCTGTCTGCCAGGAGAAAGCACGACCTCAGTTCTCTTCATTTTTAATCTAGATTAATGAGTCCTCTAACAAGTCACACCTTGCCTACAGTGCAAGCAAACCTTTATGAGGAGTTAAATAGAGGGTTTTTTCTGCAAATGGGGGAAATCTGCTGCAGTTTGGGGGCTGCCTCCTTGGGCATGAGGAATTTGCCAGTGTTAAAGGCAGGATTTGAGCCCCTGCCACTGACTTAGTGCAACAACTTCAGCATTTTGGGGGCTTGGAGCAACCTGGGCTGGTGGGAGGTGTCCCTGCCCATGCAGGGAGGTTGGAACTAGATGATCTTTAAAGTCCCTTCCAACCCAAACCATTCCATGGTTCTGTGATTCTCCTGTGACAAATGAGCCTCAGGTCTTCCCTGCACAGAACCAAGAGGTCTCGAATATTTGTAACCTCTCCAGTACATTTTGGTTTGGGAATGAAATTGAAAGCCCCACAGATGTGTCGTTCCAAGACAGAAAGACTGAATTAAAGTGACATTTCTTCCTTTATTGAAACAAGGAGCTTGCATCTCATTTTTAACTTCAAACAGAGATTTTGAATAAGCTCTGCATGAAGGCTTCAGGCAGCTTCCGTTCTTCCTGCAAAGAATTTTCCATCCCTAGTAGCAAGATGTAATTTAAAATAAAACTTTGGGGTGTTTTTTTAAAATTTTATTTATTTACTCCAATCCAGAATGATGATTCAGCCCCTCAGGGGTGATTTCCAAAGGAAACCTGTGCACTTGCAGGCATTTCCATTGCTGTGCATCCCTCTTTGGGGACTCACTCTGTCTCCAGGAGCACACAGCTGGGTTCTTGGGGCACAGCCTGAGTCTGCAGGATCTCACAGATCCTCTTGGATCTCACAGATCCTCTTGGAGATGAGCATTCCCTGAGTGAGCTCTTCAGAGAAGTGGAGCTTTTGTCATGAACGTGGCTGCATTCCTGGAAGTTGGGGCTTCCCTGGGCAATATCTGCCCAGGCAGAGACCATCCCAGGATCCTGCTACAGGAAATCCTCTATCATCTGGTTTTTGAACTTAAATCACATGCAAAACGCAGATTCACTTGCAGGTCACTACAAAACACAACAAAATTCCTTAAAAAAAACCTTCACTACTCAGGAGGGCAACTGAGGACTGAACATCTACAGGGTGAAGCTTCAAGTTTCATATGGAGCTACAAAAGCCCTAAACATCACGTTTGGGCTGCAGTGGAAGTTGTTACCTTCTTCCTCATTCCCTTCTGCAAAACAGCACGTTCACAGGAGTCTAGAAAACACAGGAGTGCAGGAAATATCAATGTAATGAAAGGGACTTACCTGCCCTTCTCTGCTGACATGATGCAAAAGGACAAGAGAGGCAGAGGAGAAAAGCAAACGCTAGAGCTGAAACCATCTCGGGCTGCAGGCAGAGTGGGTGGATGGGCTTCTCTTGCAACGAATTTTTAACCTGCAGGTTTGCCTCTGCTCCCCATTAGGGGCTGTGGTTTGCTATTTATGAAGTTGCATTCCTTCCTCTGAAGTTCTTATTCTCTGATGCTGGGTGAGGGGTGGACGTCATTGCTGGCTGCTGGTCCACACAGAACGTTACAAAAGTAAACAATATGAGAAACTCATCAGCAGGGTAGTTTAAATTTTTTTTTTTTTAGACCAGCTTGCACCAAAATAGGTCAGAAAATTCCAGAATTAAATGGATTTTTTTTTTTTTGGATGGGGGTTTTTATTTCTTCTTCATGGACACAGGACAGACGGATGATTCATCGCCCCGTCCCTCACAGATTTTCCTTCTGAAACTGCTCACAAGGTCATGAAAGCTCTGAGACATCTGGACTTCACTAGGGTTTCAGAAGGGGCTCTTTAGCCTCCCAAAAGACAGTTTCAGCACTCACACTTGGGGGTGAATTACTGAATCATCTCCCAATTCCAAAGAGGAGCTGTCACATCCTATTTCAGAGAGGGAGCAGGCAAATTGCCCCCTCCCTGGCAGTGCTGAAGGGCAGGTTGGATGGGGCTTGGAGCAACCTGGGCTGGTGGGAGGTGTCCCTGCCTGTGCAGGGGGGTTGGATCTGGATGATCTTTCAAGTCCTTCCAACCCAAACCATTCCATGATTCTATGATTCTATAAATGTCCCAGCCCTTAGGGGCTGATGTTCTAGTTACCTCCCACCAGGCTGATCCAGAGGAAGGATGCAGAGCAGCAGGGATGGCATGAAAGGAAGGTGGACTTTGCTATTTCTTGCCTGTGAAGCAATGAGTCTCAATCCATCATTTTCCATCAGTCAGTCCCAATCCAGCACTTTCCATCAGAAGACACAGAGGGGATTGAGAAATCCATCTAGAGCAGCCAAAGAAAATTATCCTGCCCAAAGAAAATCTTAATGCTGCTACCTCAAGGAAACTGCAAGTTAAACTGTGACCTGTGAAAAAGGTTGGTCTGGAGACCAGTGAAATTCTTGCTCACACTTTCTCACTGTTTGATTGTGAGATCTGTCAGTGCTGATCATCCAACACCCTTGGGGGGACAGGCAGGAAAGCCCCAGGAAACAGTAGCTCAGTCTCTCAAGTTTTAGAGCAGGTTCCTTGGGTATTTACATGAAGATTTTATTCCTCCTCTTGACCTCAGACCTCCCGTGTTCAGGAAAAAACTTCCCATCCCTGTGGCTGGGCACAGGATTTGAAGGTCCCTGGGTGCAGCAGGCACTGGTGAGGGTGCATGTTCACTCAAATAAGCAAATAATTGTGATTAGTCTTGTGTTCCAGGAGAGCTGCAGCTCAGATCTTACACGTTCCTGCACCCAGCAAGTTCATACTGAGAGGAAAGTTAATTTGCATGTGTTACTGAGTTAGCATTTGTGTAATTTGGCTTGTCTGGCGTGGAGCAGAGAATCACAGAATGCCAGGTTGGAAAGGACCTCAGGGATCATCTGGTCCAACCTTTTTAGGTACTACTGTTGTTGATATGAGTTGATTTGAGATGCCATCTCATGTTACACAAGCAGGGGACTTTGCTGGCAGCCCCCAGGTAACTCAGCTTTGATACTTGTGCTGAGCTCAAGTGGTTTAGCTGGAACTCAGAACAACTTGGTTTCCCAGCTTTTAACATTTCTGGGTCCTTCTGAACAAATCCAAACCATGGCAACGAATCATTACAGATAAAATATAGTGGGTTTTCCCAGTGATGTTCTGGGAAATGTTATTTACAATTTTTATGTTCAGGCTTCTCCTGGAAGGTGCTGTTGTCAGGAGGTGAGGGAGGCACCCAGGCTGCTCAGCCCAGGACTCTGCTCCAGGGCAAGGAAGCACATTAGTGCCTTTTGTGGAAGTGGAGAGTTCTGAGGGAAAAGCACAGCACTTAGGACAGCCTGCAGGTACATCCCTGTCCTTTTCTGCTAGAGAGTCATCATCTTGATGTCATCTTCATTCATCATCAAGAGTCACTAATCAGAGGAGGCTGGAAGGTGCACTGAGCTGGCTCACGTGTGGCACATCTTCCTTCTGAGTAACTGAGGGGCTACAGCACAAACTGGGGGCTGTGCTTAGAAGGTGCAAGTTCTCAGACTCAGCAAACCAGGAGTGTTCCCTGCTGAGAAGGGATGTTCATGATTCCCCTTAGCAGCAGCTGGGCAGGGCAGTGAGCACAGTGCCCCTTGCTGCTCACTGCTCTGAGGGAAACAGACCAGAGGGTATGAAATCTGCATGACATGGTTTCAACAGTTGAGCAAAGAAATATTCTGCATAAGAAGGCAGTGATCAATATGTCTTCACATTCTTCTGGAATTCTTCTGGAGACCCAAAGCCATTTCTTTTCAGGCTGCAACAGTTTCTGGGATCATTTCCATTCATTAATGATGGCAAAAAATAACTGTACAGATTAAAGAGCAGCTCATTTGTACAGAGCTTTCTGGAGTTGAGCAAGACACGGTGTCTCCACAGGGTGAGGTCATTCCCACCTTTATTTTCCTTGGAATCATTTTATACCTTTTTATATCCAGATCTGAGGGCTAGAAATCCCTGCAAATCAGGGATCAGGCAGATCAGAAGGTGTTTGCTCAAGACTTGGTTCTTTTCAAAAGGACAAATTCAAAAGTATCTGAGATGCCTCAACCTGTTATTACCTGATGGGGAAACATCTTCCAGATTTGTCAATATCATTTTTAAGTATTAAAAAAAAAAAAAGGCAGCAAATTGTGTTGATTTGGGCTTCAGTGCAAAAGTGTTTTTGCACCCTGCAGTGCCAGGTTAGTTACACCTTTTTCCCTGACTGGAGTTGACATCACAAATGAAAGCAGGACCCAAACAAACACCAAAAAGAAAAGCTCACACTCGTTTAAAGTTTAAATATTTTCCATCTCTGTGTTTTTAACTGATCTTTGCCAAGTGAAGGACAAAAGTCAGAAGGAAAAACTTATTTTTCAGTCTTGGAAGGTCAAGTTCTAAAAATAAGTGAAAAACACCTACACCCTCTGAAATGGGATGCTGAGTGTTTTACAATGTTTCTTATATATTCATGGTTGTAAGAAATTAATGGTATTAAAAATGACCAGTAGGGATTTCAAAAAACATCTCTTCCCCCTGCAAGACCAATAATACCTCCAGCTCTTCACAATTTCTTCTCTACCCTCTTCTTAAATGCTTCTCAGCCATGGAGACACCACAGCCACCCCAGGCAGCCTTCCAGGCCTTCCTATTCCCACCGGTAGGAAATGTTCCCAAGGGAGGCTGTTGAAGCCCAGTGCTTCTTTCCTTGTTCACCACGGACTCAAAAAGCAGATCAGTCCCTTTTTGAACCAGCTCTAGAGATCTGAGAGCTATTTTTTTATTCCACTTCCAAGTTTTATACAAGATGGAAAGGTGGAGGTGAAAAGTGGAGTCATGGCAGGTTGTCAGCAGTTAGTTCCGTGAGAAATACAAGGTCTGGAAGTCTCACCTAAGTCACAAACAGGCCTGATTTTTGTTAATTGTCACAAAACTTAAAGTCTCTCTGACTCAGAAGATGCACCATCTGTCATGATGAGCTGCTGGATCACACCCGAGGTCGAAGCAGCCCCACATGTTTCTGCAACACTTGTTTCTGCCTCACTCAGGAGATCACTAAGAAGCCAAAGGCATCAGGATTTCACAGCAGTTATTTTCAGCTTGTATTGATTTTGAATGTTCTTGTCAAACACCTGTAAATTCCAAAGATACACACTGAGAAGGACCAGACACTGGAGTTGGGTGCCCAGCAGAATCTTCACCCTTGTCCTACCTTTGTGCTTCCAGACCAAACAAAAGCCTCTTTTCAGAAGTTTGCAAAACATGGTTTTACAGCTTGATTATGTACAAATACTTATTCCATCCGTTGCTAAAACACCATCTCAACAAACAGGATTCCTGAATCATCTGTGCTCTGAACTATTTGCAGTCCTGAGGTGACAATGGAGGTGTTGATCTGATCCATGTGAAGAGCAGCACCCATGCCCTGTGGAAGCAGGTCCATTGTTTGACACAAACACCTCAAGTGATGCAAATCCTGTGCAGGAAATCCATCGGACAGGAGGTGAGAACACTCCCAGCCCCTCCTCAGTCATTCCAAGATGGAATAATCCACTCTAGGTTGTGGTTTGTTACGTGTTTGAAGAGTTACAGCTTTGCTGCAGTCTGGTTTGTGTCTCTAGCTTTGAATTCCTGAGGCAAACAAGGAACTGAGGATCTTTTATTCCTACTTGTGTTGCTTTTTTCATGGAATTGTGGCCCATTGCAGGGACAGGAACCAAGCCTGCAAAATACAACCAGTGGACCTGGCTCCATCCTGCTCTGAGCTGCCTTCAGAATTCAGTTTTCTCCTGGTTTTCTCCCCTTCTGATGGAATTTGACTAATGGCACTAAAGGAATGTGCAGGAGTTGAGAAAAGCAAACAAAGTCACACAAGTCACTGTGCCAAGAGGCAGTGACAACCACAGTGTCACAGCAACTGGCACAGGGTGACAGGGACATCCCCTGGGAAACAGCCCCTGCCTTGCAGCACAGAATCTGGGGCCTCCCTGCAAGTAGGATTAGAATTCCAGAGGGTTCCCCCCTTAATTCCTCCAACACTGCTAGAAAAGAGAGGACCTGGATCCCTCCTGAAAGGCTGAGTTCCAAGGGGACCCCCCTTCCTACCCTGAATGTTTTCTGAAGAGGTTTGAATGCAACACAAACACAACCCACCCTCATGTTGCTGTGCAAAAATAGCTGCAAAAAGGCTTCTGAAGAAAGGCCCAGAGAGGCCTTCCAGTGTCTGAGGGAGGAATCCCACAAAAAAGAGACCAGTGAGCCAAGAACATGTTCAGTCTCTGCTTTATCCTCAGCTTTAATCCCCAAACAAAGGCAGCAGCCAGAGCCAGGGTGGCCTGAGGAGGGGATTTCTGGTTTAAT